AGTGGTGTATCTAAGTTAACCTTTGAAGCTTTTGGAGAACGAGACTTACAAAAATTGCAATCGGTTAAAATTCCTAATAGTACTTATTACGCTTCGTTATTAGCAGACCTAATTTTGCATTCATTTGAAGAAAAAGAATTTGTTCAAAAACTTCCACAAGAGAGAAAATTCTTGCTCTGTTCTTCAATTATCGACATTTCGTCAATTTAAATATTCACTTTCATCAATATATCCATTGAACTCGAAATAAAAGAAGCACACACTGCTTGAAAAAACACCTTTACAAAACTTTACTTGCGAAGTAAATTTCATTAAAGGTGCTCCAAAAAGCAAGGTCATCTTTGTATTAACTTTACAAAAAGTAAAGGTGAAAAGGTAACCTTTACTTACACGAAAAGATAATTAAATATAACCTTTCACCTTTAATGCCATATTAAAGTTCATTAAATATACATATTTTATAAAAGTCTTATTTTAATGCTGACTATTGTTTAATACACTTATTCTTTGGATTTTCACAGTTAGTTTAAAGAATCTAATCTAGTCAATACCCAGAATTTTAAGACAAATGTCAAATATTTTTTTAATTATCTTGTATCCATTTCCAGTTGAAATTAGTATTAGAAATGGTCATCTACAGGATCAAACACTCGACTCATCATTATTTGACAGACTACACCTCAAATAATACAACACCTATGCTGTAAGCCAGGTTAGCTTAGTTGGAGCAGCTGGCGTTTATTTTGATACATGTAACAATACATAAATATTTAACACACATTACATTGAATGTGAAACAATAAAGCACTGCAATGCATTTGTAAAATATTTTACATGTAATAAATTGTACCCCTATCACTGACATTAAAAACCGCCCAGGCAAAAACCATAGATGGTTAACTATGGAAAACCTGTGTCCGTCGCTATGTAAATAATGTCTCAAAGGAGAATGCCGGACGTGCATTCGGTGCAATAGTTAAAAATGCACGAACATCCTATGATATTTGCATGTAAGAAAAAATCCAAATTAGAATACATATCAACAGTTTTGTTATTTCCATTACCAGTATATTTATACAAATATGATATATATAAAGCAAAAAAAAAATGTGTGTATATTGAAGAGCACTGGCTTAGAATGATATGAACATATTACTGAATACTCATTTCTCATTGGCTTTCCTTTGGCCACGCCCACACATACAACCAAAACCATTAATATACATTCCTCGCATACAATGTGTTCCCGCTATACTGCGAAACACAGGAAAAAATATTATCTGCACCGGGATTGCCTGAATTGGATGACATAGATCTTTAATATGTACATTGATATTAATGATAGAGTAATTAATAATATAACAATGGGAAAAATTGGCATATTGATAATTTTCATTTTCCAAACAAAAATGATCTAAAATATTCTGTAATTTTGCTTCTCATCATATGATGAGTCAGATATACAGCACAAACAATATCCAGTTATAACCTTGAATATAAACATTATATTGAGCTATCTTTGACTTTTGTTTTCCTTTAAACATTCAGATACATGTGAGAAAAAAAAATACAGATGACAAGTATAAATTTCACATTTCTGCTTTTGAAATGGAGGTCCAATTTCATTTTAAAATATAATAACAGTACATCATTTATTCTTTATGGTGCATGAACATATATAAAATAAACTTTGCAGTTTAAATTTAATTAAAAATGTGGAAAAAATTAAATAAAAGTCTATTTGATTTGCGCTTATATACAGGCTAATAACATCTTCAACTTGTAATGCAAAATGATGCATTTTACATATTCACAAATACAAAATATGGTGAAAAATCTATTAGAATAGATGCGGGGATGCAGTTTGCAAAATGCATGAGATCATGTACGAGTCCAGCTTCACCCCGTGAGCCTGTCTGTACTTGATTTAGTTTAGATTATGTTTTTATGTCTGTGGTAAATGTTAGTGTGTTTGCATATGTGTCCAGCTTCACACATTTTCATGTATGTGCTCGACTTCACACGCCTTGGAAAATATGTAATAGGTTGTGGTAGATGCATGCGTGTTTGCATATGTGTCCAGCTTCACACATTTTCATGTATGTGCTCGACTTCACACGCCTTGGAAAATATGTAATAGGTTGTGGCAGATGCATGTGTATTTGTGTATGTGTCCAGCTTCACACATTTTCATGTATGTGCTCGACTTCACACACCTTGGAAAATATGTAATAGGTTATGGTAGATGCATGTTTGCATATGTATCCAGCTTCACGCATTTTCATGTGTGTGCTCGATTTACACGTCGTAAATGTAAAATATGTAACCATGGTGGTGTAAAATGTTTACAAGTGTATGATGCACAAAGAGAAAAAAAGTTCTGTGTGGTTTGTTCTGCAAATCTGCATATAAATAAACTACAATTATGTCCTGTTGAGAAACTGACAATCATAATAAGTAACATATTCATTTTACATAACTGTACTGAAAATTACACATCCAGTTTAAATTACTGTACTGAAAATTGAATTTGTGCAAAAACTCTCTGGCTGAATAACATTCAAAACCATGAATGCTTGCATGTTCATCTATGGATCTCCAAGATATTTCCTAGTTAGTTTGTAGCGCCACACCAGGCGGTCTTACAACACATTTCATAATGCCAGTTTGCATGAATAAATCAATTTATCCTTGTTCCTCATAACTTGAAAATAGATGCCGAAATTCTAGTCTACAGTTTATTTACACAGCACATCACAAATAGAAACATTCAGGAAAAATAATTCACTAAAAATAAAATCCAAGTAATATAATCACATGTACATATAAATCCAAGAAATATTAGGTAATATTCCAATCAAGTAAGAAATTTTATCTCTAACAGTTCTATCTACTAAGTCTTCTATATTTCCATCTTCCTATCTTATTCTAAAATTCTGTTGCACTATATATATACTCAAGATCCGCTCCTGACCATCAGGAGCACATTATAAGATCCTTAAGATCAGGAATCAATAGACAGGTCATTACGATCAGCAGGGGGTTATATAAGAGGGGGCGATTAATATACAGATAAGATGATAATGTGTGAACAAATAAGTATTGAAGAGTTATATTACAGTAAAGATATTCTAAATCGCTACAATTTTACAAATTCTTGATCATATCATTGATAACAGTACGTTTCTTGATCATGACATCTGTATTGGATTCCCCTCTCTGACATCTTTTCTTGTTCACCAATTAGTTCAACAGTCATCTGGGTACTAAGGTGTTGTACAAGTCCTAATAAAAATCATTTTCAAAATTATAAAGAAAAACTACAATTTTATTAAAATAGGTTTTCATTACTTCTATTGAAATTAAAGCACAAGATTTTGAAGACATACTTAAGTAACTTAAAACATGTATAACTAAACATAATGGAAATTTAGACAAAGCAACTCAATGTCAAACATATGATAGTGATACATCTGTAATATCCATGAAACTTACTGAGATACTTAAAATGTTTGTGGTGTGCTTTCACTAAGGTTAGTATTTATTTATATAAACATCTCTTGATTAAATGTTGAAGTCCAATCCTCACCTGACTTGCACATTCATATGGATTGGGTCTATGTTGATAATCTCTTTCAACAATCTTCATCACATCATCTGAAAGTCATCCATCTTCAAAATTCAAGTGTATAAAGACTCCCTGTACAAATGCATGGAAAATAAGATTTTGAATAAAAAATGAATTATCTCTTCACCATACTTGGCCTCTTTAAAAAATGTGAGGAAATAATTTAAATACTTTTCTTTATATAAAATCATGTAGTGAGTATCCAACAATGTTGAAAAAAAGTTATCTCTAGAATTTTACATTTACATTGAATGAAAAATGCATTGTTCCCTCTACTTAAAAAAACTCAAAAGATATTACCTAAAATGGAAATAAGGTACAACTGTGACTGGTGTCTCAGGCACAACCAATAAACACAAGACCTTTCCATCCTTAGCAGCATGCATTAGCTCCACATTCCCTGCTTCTACAAAAAATATACAATGAAAATTAAAAAAAAAAAAGAGAGCGAAGCGTGTTGCATGTACTTGGGGGAACAGAGGAAGGAATTTTGAAGTCAGATTAATTATATTTCTGCCAGTGTTGGGACGGATAAATTTCCATAATAAAATGAAACGAAGTATTCGCAATAAATAAGACACATGTATTACCTTGCAGTCTTCGGCCCACATATTGGGTGCGTTCACAGTTCTGCCATTGGTAGACAAAAGTTACCGTTGGTAAAATTAATTACCATTGGCATGCCACTGGTACCAATGTTTTTTGCCAATGGTAGATTTTTCTGCAGACAGTCTAGAGTGTGGTTAGTGTTGGTAAATGACGTCACAGCTAGTTATCGACATGGCAACAAGCTAGAAAGACTGGGATCCTGGATTTACAATGATATAAACGATTTTTCCTCTAATCCTTTTTAACAAATCATGTCAAAATCACATAAAAATCATATCAAACACTTATATTTATGATTTCGAAGTATGATTTAGACATGATCCATTAAATGGATTATATAAAACTCAAAGATATGGCAACTAAAGAAGTGTGATCCTAATGTGGTTTGTTTGTCGAATATGAGTCTGCTATGATTTTCTTGCGATTCTGGCATGTGCCAATAACTTAGAAGACAAAGAAATCTATAATTCAGTATTGCCAACGTCTCCATTGGACTCCCATTGGTAACATTGGTAAAATTGTTACATTTGTATGCCAATACCCGTTCAGGGTTTATTGGTACAGTTGGTACCATTGTCAAATTATTGTACCAATGGTATATTGAAAGTTGGTACTAATGGTAGAACTGTGAACGCACCCAATGTATACAAATGACAACATCCCATTCCCTTTCTTTGTTGTTTACTTGGCGGAATTTTCTTTGCCGTCTAGACTGGTTCCCTGCTCTGGTTCCCATACATTGCCGTTAATTAATAAGTCCTACGTTTATTGGTTTTGTTTACAAGCTTCAACATCAATAAAATCTCCAGCACATTTACAGCCTGTATTGTAAACTACACTGAAAACATACTTTACACACAATTTTCAGCTCAGTATTATATTATCCTCTTCATTCAAGTAATATGTAAACTCTTCTCGAATGTAAAACGAACGACCTACTCTGAACAGTAACCCAAATATGGCACTGTGTATTCAGTTGAATAGCCAATCATTTCAAATCAAGTTGAGCGGGTTTGCATCGTAATTTTGACGAAGTTTGAAACCAGTGGTAATTTTTTGACACAGCATCTAGATTTAAGAAGATTCTTGCCTGGACAACTGCTCGAACTCCCGGGATGGCATGCTCTAAAGGTTTGTTTACGATTTCCAGCCGTTTTCACTTTCACTTTCAGATCAGTACATTGTGCATGTTGTGAAAGAATGAAACTAATCAAAGTCACGCAAAACGACGCTTTGTATGTTATTTTCTGCCAGGATATTAGATATTTTTGATAATTTGGGGATTAAATGTTTATGTGCGTCACTTTATTCTGTAAAGGTGTATGAATCATAGGGGCTTGTCTTCCGGATTGATAAATGTAAAATAATTTTTTTTTAATTTGTATCTAAATTAAATACAGTCTAAAAGTTGATTTAATAAAGATTCTGATCAGGCAAGAAAAATAATGTTTAAAAAAAAGTACTACACCTATATACATAAACTCTCAACTTTGAGATTTTATTTATTTTTATTTATATCATTTTGTATTTTAAACTGTGTCCATTTTCTTAAAACACAGGTATAGTGAATTCAGTATGCAGATTGTTGAAGGGAAAACATCAAGACGGGGCGAGGAAGACAACAAAACATGATTACCCAGATTGAGGATCCCAGTGTTCTTTGGTACAAGCACATTTTAATTATAAATTTCATGAAATCTGTTACTTGAACAAACATTTACATTATTTAGTGCTTGACTTGCTCGGGAGTCAATATCATCATATATTTGTAAAAAAAAATGTTCAATTTCCTTTTTATAGCCTCAAGCTACTCAGCCTACCATGAGAAAATTAAAAGATCTGTCATGAAGAAGAGGCGGGTTCTCAACTTTCATATTATAAATGGCAAGTTTTGTTTAGAACTAATTTTAGATTATTCTTGATAAAGAATAACATAAGGGTGTTTGTCAGTTCATAGCTTTTATTTGTGATTGCATTGTGTATTAATTTTCAAAATCAATTCATTTTTTGGTGACCAAGTGCAGCGGTTTTCTTCAAACTCATAATTTTTTTATAAAAATATTCACTATATTTGTCCATATGTATAAAATGTTAATCATGGTCTGTATTCTATTTCAGCATGATTGTCATCTTCAATTTGAGGGACTCTCACCTAAAGTCCTTTTACTATTCCATATAAGGAAAAAGTTCATGAGCTGAAACATACGATTGGGGAAAAAGGTACATATATCCTAAACCATAACTTGAGTATCATTCTGTATACATGTACAGCTAAACTAAATATGTAGCACTATATTGTTCTCTTTGTAAACTGACAACTGAGTAGTCCGGAAACCTATGATTTCTCAATATTTCAGGGATTTATTCTTTGTTTTTGTATAGTACCCTTAAAAAATACATATTTCTCAAATTGTAATTTATAGGCTTTTTGTGATAAGGGATACATGACCTAACCCATTGATTCTTCATATAATATGTCAATAACAAGAGTTACACTCATCTTATTAAATTGATTTATTATACCTCTATTGATAATACTCGAATTTGATTGGCTGGTATGAAAACTTTAAAACACAACAATGACTCCAAATGGTACTGTTTAAAGCAACTGACCTAGGAATCATCGCACGTGGGATATAATGACCCGGTCATTATTTTTAATGACCGCTAAAAATGACCGCTTAAACAAAAATTCGTTTTTGAGTGAAGTTAATGCATAAAATAATAATTATTCGAAAAAAACAACAACATGTTTTTAAAATTGTGCATGGTCTGTTTTGCATTACCATACAGAATACGGTAAAATTTTATCGTAACAATATATATATCGTTTCAACAGTTCAATAGGCCTATATCGTTACAAAATCAGTTCAATAGAATGTAGAGGCGGCTTTTTAAAGAGTTGAATTCTGTGTTACATTTTGATTGTGAAGAGAAAAAGTAATCGTTAGTTATAACATTGTATTCGCTATCACGCAGATATTGTTTTAATCATTAAATCATGATGCAAAAACTTACACGACTTGCAGACTTCAATGTAAACAACTTCACTCTCCGGTCTGTAGCGAATCCCGATCCCGATCAAAGGAAGAATTGATAACGGTTAGAGATTCATACTTTTCAATATATATCGGTATAATAAAACAATTAATTACCCCTTGTGAGTTCAACATGGTGAAAAAAGAACCCTCGACCTGGCCCACTCGGTGACCTGCCCTGACCTCGGCCGCTATGCGGCCTCGGTCAGGTCAGGTCACCTCGTGGGCCAGGTCTCGGGTCCTTATTTCACCATGTTGACCACACAAGGGGTAATTAATTGTATAATAAAATTTATTTTTTTTTTTGCTTTTTGAGGTTAAAGGTCATGTATGAACTTTTTATTAGGTCACCTGAGTAAACTCAGGTGACCTATTGCTATCTGTTTTCGTCCGTCGTCGTCCGTCGTCTGTCGTCCGTCGTCCGTCGTGCGTTAACATTTGAACATTTTCAGCTTCTTCTCTGCAACCACTGAACCAATTTCAACCAAATTTGGCACAAAGCATCTATGGGTGAAGAGGAACAAAAATTGTGAATTTCATGATCCTTGCCCCCCTGGGGCCTGGGGGGTGGGGCCAAAACCACCAAAATTAATGCAATCTTTAAAAATCTTCTTCTTTACTCCTGGACATCAAGCAGTCAAACTGTTTGCATGATTGTAATCAGCAATGAGTCCTCTACCAAAATTGTGAAATTCATGGCCCTGGGGTCAGGGGTTCTTGTGCTAGGGCGGGGCTAAATAAGTAGGTAGCGAAAATGCATTATTTCTTTGAAAATCTTCTTCTCTGCCCCTGGGTATTAAATAAACCAACTAAGTAGATAGTTATGATGAGCAAGAGTGCCTCTACCAAAATTGTGAATTTTATGGCCCCAGGGTCAGGGGTTCTGGTGTGAGGGTGGGGCTCTATTGATTATATATAGTGAAAATACATGATTTCTTTGAAAATCTTCTTCTCTGCTCCTGGGTAGTAAATAAACTAACTAAGTACATAGTTATGATGAGCAAGAGTGCCTCTACCAAAGTTGTGAATTTTATGGCCCCAGGGTCAGGGGTTCTTGTTTTAGGGTGGGGGGGGGGGGGGCTCTAATGATTGTATAGTGAAATGCATGAATTCTTTGAACATCTTATCCTTTGCTCCTGGTTAATATACTAATGATCTAATTACATATTTAAGGCCAGGATTTATTTTATTTTCAGTTTTATAAAACCCTCCGCTCAAGGTTTTGAATTTTCAGAAAAAATAAAACAATTTTTTTCTTTCCGATGTCAAATTTGAGTCGGGATCGAGATTTCAAATTTACGAACTCGCACTTCCGGTTTTAAGATGAAACGGCGGGTAAATAAAGCTAGATGGTCTGAGAAGATAGCTTCGTTTAGTGTAAAATTCTTCGATATGAGTGCCATTTAAAACGTTTTACCCATTCAAAGGACAAATAAAATGCTGACGACTTTGTTGTACAATGACATGCTGGTGAGATAATTATGTATTCGTTTCAAAAGTATCTGTCTGTAAATTATTTTCCTCCCCCAGGTTTTAAACTGCCTGTGGTAGCTATTGCATATTGCAAGCGACATTGTTTAGGACTCTGTTATAGCTTACAGTCTAAGCATCATTCTTCAGAAAAGGGTTGCTTATGCATCAGATGTAATGAATAAAACTATGGGAGAAGTTAAGTCCATTTGAGGAAGAAATAAACAAAAATAACCTGAAGAAATAAAAAAAAAATTCAACTATTAAAAGGCAAGAATATACAAATATATACAGGCATGTAGTATCATTTGTATCAGCCAGAAAAATTATTTTACACTTAATTGAAAAAATGTTCACCCTACTCCCCAATTCTCCCTGTCTGTTTTATGATAGGAATTATAATTTTAGGCATCAAGTAAATTTTAGAACAATGTGTACACATTTACCTAACACATATTTAAAAAAAATTTTATTCTCATGTTCATAACTAAACCTGAACATAAAAAAAAATGCTGGCCTTATAATGAAGAAAGGGGCCTCTTTCAAAATAGATAATTTCAGGGCCGCTGGGTCAGGGGTACCAGGGGGGTACTTTGACTAAAAATAAATTAATGCTTTGAAATCTGTCCTTTGATAAGCAATGGTGCCTCCTTCAAAATTTGTGAATTTTATGGCTTTTGGATTAAAACACGAACCAAATACAATCGCTGGAAAGTTGTTACATGATACTCAGGTGACCTATAAGGCCCGTGGGCCTCTTGTTTATTAATTAGGTTGTACCTTGTTTTTATTTTTATTAATCATGTTATTGTGAATTCTGATAACACAGACGCCATTGAAAATATTCATACTTATGCATGGCACTGAAAAAATACTTTTTTTTTCTTTTAGAAAAAGCATTAGGAAAATGCCTGCATGGGGAGAAAAGTTTTGAACTCTGAAAAGGGAGGTGTGACAAAAACATTTTGACAGTTGTTGATTTCCACTAAAACCAATATCCACAAGAAAGAGGACATAGTTTTATTAGCTCACCTGAGCCGAAGGCTCAAGTGAGCTTTTCTGATCACATTTTGTTCGTCGTCCGTCCATCTGTCTGTCCGTCTGTCCGTCTGTAAAACTTTTCATATTTTCGACTTCTTCTCAAGATCCACTGGGCCAATTTTGACCAAACTTAGTACAAAGCATTTTTGGATAAAGGGAAATTTAAATTGTTAAAATTAAGGGCCAAGTCCCTTCACAAGGGGAGATAATCAAGAAAAAACAAAAATAGGATGGGGTCATTAAAAAATCTTCTTCTCAAGAACCACAAGGCCAGTAAGGCTGAAACTTATATGGAGGCACCCTGGGGTAGTGTAGATTCTAAATTGTTCAAATCATGACCCCCGGGGGTAGGGCGGGGCCACAATGGGGAATCAAAGTTTTACATAGAAATATATAGGAAAAATCTTTAAAAATCTTCTTCTTCTCAAGGGCCTCTTGTGTTGATTCACAACTTTAAATTCAAGAATGTACAGTTGGTTTTATTATAAAACATGTCACATACAAAAAAACATATTTGTGAAATGTACTCTGTCCTTGATATGTATGTAATTTGCAGGATAGGATGTGGGCAACATATACTGCCAAGAATCTTGATGATTTTGATCTTATGTTTGTAAAAAAAAAATGTTTGGTATTGTAATAAACAAAAATAAAGTCAGCTTTTTGTTAATTAGGGCCCCGCAAGGATTTGCGGGTGCCCTATAGTAATCACTCTGTCTGTCCGTCTGTCCGTCTGTCCCTCTTCCGTCCACAAATTTTCTGTTTTTTTCTAATAACTTTTTTTATGGTTGCCCGATCAAGTTCAAATTTGGTCTGGTAGTTCAGTAGGCAGAAATACATATTTTGATGCCAAGTTTGGTTCTCAGTGTCTTCTGGTTTGGAGCTGGGGTGGTGGGGTAGATTCCTTAACTATGCATAAGAATGAATGGGCAACTTTTTTTATGGTTGCCCAATCAAGTACAAATTTGGTATGGTAGTTCAGTAGGCAGAAATACATATTTTGATGCTAAGTTTGGTTCTCTATGTCCCCTGGTTTGGAGCTGGGTTGATGGGGTAGATTCCTTAACTTCAGAATGCATTGGCAAAGAGAGATAACTGCTGAAGATGTTCCCATTGTAAAATGAATGCTGGCTATGAGTCCATAGGGATTAATTAGCTTTCCTCCTGAAGAAAATCCAGAGCATTATCTTTATCTGTCACATTGAGATGAATTACCACCTCTGTCTGCAAATGAAGTTTGTTTTGAAGTTAAGTCAATTTGGAATGCTATGAACACTGTGAAATGTGGATTTAGATATAAATTTTTATAATTTATTTTTGTTTAATAGTTATAATTTCA